AAAAAAAAAAAAAAGTATCTGTATTCCCTAAGAATAGGGCTTATCTTCCAGTGTATTTCTGTAAATTCAAGAGAGGAAGGGGATAATGTTGCTTTCTTTTCAACAAAGGAGGGTAAATTTTTTGTTAGTAACTTTTAAATTCACAGTGGTTTTAATTTTGAAAACTGTAAGTTGGTTCCCCTTTTACAAAAAGGCTGTACACTTATTGCAGTACCTTACTTCCCTTAATGGAACAAAAGTAAAGACTGAAAATACATTAATGAGTTAAGAGAATACAGTATATTAAAATATACTACCTGTATCTTGTAAGAGATGCTAAGACATTTAGCAACAAATGGCAATGATATTATGGAACTTTGATGTATTTAATATCACAACTGTAAGTTAATAAAAATGTTTTTATTTAAAAATCTCAAATGTTCCTTACACAGACTTAGTACAAGTAAAATAAAGTACCTTCATTATATAAATATATACATACTTACCACCATTAGCAGAATATGATCTATTAATTGGAATATGTGGAATATCTCCTTCATTAATTAGTCTCAGATCTTGTTCTCTCTGTAGCTCCCTGATTATTCCATCAAGAATGCTCTCATCTTGGTCATTGGTTTGTTGCCCAATTACTTGTTCTACCACTTCACCATCACCTTATTGAGACCAAAGATATGAAGCCAAAAGATTACTTACATTTTAATATACCCTAAATATGGTGAAACAAACCTTAATCTATAAAATTTCCAGGCAAATAATTAAAAAACAATATTAAAATGAAAATAAAACATACCAAATAGTATTTTTAAGGAACTTTTAAATTGTTTGATACATCAGCTTGTGTGTATGATTTAACAAATGCCCCCAAATTAGCCATTACTATGAGGGTCTTATCATCTTAAAGAATAATCATTAAATTATGAATTTTCAAATGTACATTCTTGATTGAATATTCCAAGCAAAAAGTCCAGAGTAGAGATCTGAGTAAGGTTTAAATTAAGTTCAACCATAAATACATGAAATGTTTTGCATCTTTCATGAGAATTTCCTTTCTGAAATAAATCAAAATAATGGTCTTTCAAATATTGTCTGTTTTGAAAACACCTCAGTATATTGATAAGTACAGAAATTCCTTCTATTGACACACTGAAATCCATTGATTACATGTGAATAAAACTTTATTTACTACTATATTCTTTTTCTTAAATACATCTTACACATGTTTTTCATCTTGTCCTCTAGTATCCAATAAAAGGTATCCAAAAGAGTAGCTAAGTTATCAGGTCCTATAGGAAATGAAGTGTGATGAACTATAGATTTTTTTATTCAAATGTTTTGAGTGTTTTCTCGCATTTAATATTCATGCTTCTCACCCTTAACACATGACATTATAAAAGTAAATATTAGCAAATGTGTAACATCATTTCATTACTCTACAAATCTTTATGAGAGTACATAAAAATATATGCAACATTTCACTCTATTAAGGACAATTCAAGTCTTAAATCCCTAGTAAGGAAATAAAATTCCATTTATAAATCAATACCTACACCTCACACCTGGAAGAAAACCTACAAATAACAAACTAAGGCATTATGGTATGTGAGATGGGGTGTAGAGAGCAGAATATGCAAGAGAAATATATAAATGAGATATGTTATTGAAGGGAAGATGGCTGGAGTAGGAGGACACTAGGCTTGCCTCCTCCCATGAATAAAACTAGATTACAACCAATTCATCCTAAATATCCTAGAAATCAATCTGAAAACTAGCAGAACAAACTCCACAACTAACTAAAGGCAGAGTATAGGCCACATCAGAGAAGGTAGGAAGATGTGGTTTGGGAGAAAATCAGATATAGCAGCCATGGTGAGGAGGGAGCTCAGGTTGCAGAGAAGGGCAACCTGTTGTCCTGTCTGGGCCTCAGTTTCTCCACTAGGCCCTGTGGGGAGACACAGGGGGCAGTCTGAGAGTGCCAGAGAAATCCAGGTCCTCACAAGACCTACAATATTTTGGGACTGTCACCTGGCCCTCTCCCAGGGGACCTACTTCCTTCCTGGCATCCCACTCCACAATCTCCCAGAAACCTCCCCTGCAAAAAAAAAAAAAAAAAAAAAAAAAAAAAAAAAAAAAAAAAAAAAAAAAAAAAGTCTTTCTTTAATTAAAACTGTCTGAAACTTCTGTGGGTACAGAAACCACAAACTGGTTGGCAGAGAAAGGAGAAGAGAGGGAGAGGCAACCAGAAATCATTTGGGGCCAGTCTCCTCTCTGCCCGGGTTTCTTCCCCCAAGCCCCCTCAACAGCTCAGCCCAAAGCCTGTTGGGAGGTTTGCTGCCACGATGTGCCCTGAAGGCACTCCTATACCACACACATCTGCATATGCCTTCACCTCCCTTCCCCACAGACCCTTAGCTGGCAGCACTCAGACAATAGAAAAAAAAGACAACAGAGAAAACACATATCCAGTCAGGGTGATGTGGAGAGACACCCTGCATAGGTGCCTCAGTATTCTACCTCCTCAGTGGTAGGGGGTGTATTCTGGGACCTCCCCTAGGCCTGGGCAGTCACCTGCAGCCACTGAAGCTCCATCTGTCACTGGACTTTGTGGGCAGTACTTGGGGTCATATATCTGCCAGCCAAAGCCAAAGATCAGGCCACTCTGGTTGGTGCCTTGTGTTTAGTCCATCTGCAAGGACATGGATACCCCAACTTGGTATTGTACATGTGCCAATGGGTCCCAGGAGCTGTTATGCCCATCTGGTTGGCATACTTGTTCGTGCCTATCAGGAGGCTGATGGTTGAGTGGTCCACAGGTAGCAGGATATGGTTCTTGGGGTCATACAGATGACTTCTTGTGCCATAAGCTATCATGCCTGACTGGCTGGCACATTTGTTGGTGTCCATCAAGGAGCCCAATGATGCACTGGCCCGCCTTCATGGTGGTGTCATTGAAATTGCACTCCTGCTTCTCTGAGTATTTAACACGAATGTCCATGCCACTCTGCAGCCCCTGGCCTTCCCAACCAGGATGAGAAGAGACACCTGCACCCATGTCATGCTCCCACTCTCAAACAGGTTGTTTGTCTCAAACAGGTCCCATGGGGTTCATGCTGTAGTTGACCATGGCCTTGAGGAAGGTGGAGAGGTTTTCTAGTCGGTGCCAGTTCTGCATGGAGTGGCTGATCTTAGGGACTAAGCCTGGCTGCAGCTTATTCACTAATATACACACAATAATTTCCGTCTTTCAGACCCTTCTGAAAGTTGGGCCCAACAGAGAGGCCTGTGAGTCCCTGGATCCAGCTGCAGAGCTCCACACCCTTCTGAAGGTCATATTGGGACAGGAGCCGGTTCTTGACCCCAGTTGAAAGCTTGTACAAGGGCCCTTGTTGAAATGTGTGGAGCTCATGGCTGTGGCACAGCAGGACCAAGAATGGGTTGAATCTTATATGACCATCAACTTAATATAGACAGCTACAAGATGGTGGTGCAGTAGGAGGACCCTAGGCTCACCTTGTCCCTTGAACTCAACTAGATAACTATCAAATCATTTTGAATACCCAAGAAATAAACTTGAGGACTGAGAGAACAAACTCCAGAACTAGAGGGACAGAAGAGGGACACTGAGGAAGACAGGAAGTGTAGAGACATGGTTTGGGAGAGAAACAGAACACGGGTGCTGTGGAGGTGAGGTAGCCCTGGTGACAGAGAATGGCAAGAGAGAAATGACCACACAGGAACACATAAGGAGAACACTTCCCCAAAGCCATTGGCTGGGAAAACAAGAGGGACTGATTTTTATTAGTTTTTGCAACCAGTGGGACTTGAAGACTGTAGTTTAAAAGGTTGGTGGGCTTGGATGGAATAGAGTTCTGAGGGCACTGCCCTACTCCGAAGAGATGGAGACAAACAACCCTGGGGCAGAGAGAGTGAAAAGGGCAACTGAAAAACACCAGGGAAACAGTGGGAGAGATTATTCACTCTTCTCAGAGTGTTTCCCTGAGAACAGCAAGCAGAGACCCCTCTCCTGGGACAAAAGAGATGGGTGGTGCCATTTCCCTCTCCCACCCCTCACATAAACACAGAGCTACCTTCAGTAAAAAGCACAGCACTAACACTGGCTGCCTGACCTGTTTACACCAGGTCCCATACCCCTTCACTCTGCCAGTACTGCCCTTCTAGATAAAGTTGGCCACAGTTCCAGCAGGGCAGGCCCCTTCCCCAGAAGATCAGCAGAAATCCACACACACACCATGACTCCCAACCATGGAGTTCTGCAGGGCTTCAGATCTAGTGTTAAGTTGCATCAGGTCTCATTCAACAAGAACAAGGCACACATAGTTAAAACTTGATACATTCTGGCCAAGGTCCAAACACTGTCCACTGCAGGCAAGGAGAACCTCTGAAGATTGATTAGCCTTAAGGATACAGAGGCCAAAACACAACAGCTGAGTGTACCCAGCACACACCAGAGACACTCCTGGCCTGAAATGCCAGGCCATGGACACTATTTGCTCTCAGGAGCAGGAAACATAACAGGCTTTTGTAGCACACAGAAGAAGACAGAGACTTAGGCAAAATGCCAAGATGGAGAAATTCATCACAAATGAAACAAGATAAGGTCATGGCCAGAGATCTAAACAAAACAGATATAAGTAATATGGCTCATGGAGAATTTAAAGCAATAATCATGAGGATACTCGCTGGGCTTGTGAAAAGAATGGAAGACTTCAGGGAGGCCTTTACCACAGAGACAAAAAAGTTAAAAACTAATCAGTCAGAAATGAAAAATGTGGGGCATTCACTTTCAAATGTCCCCTCTCTATAAAGAGAGCTTTCCTACTATTCTTACTTTCTAATCCTATACTCTAATTTCCTGCTGCTCATTTTGAGTCCACCTCTTCATTCTTCGAAGTGGTGAAACAACAAATCCTGGGTATTGTGGTAAAAAGTCCTGCAACATTTCTTTGGGGGCTCATCCTGGGATATCAACATATTCTATCCATAAGTAAAGAGCAACCAGCACCCCCTCTTTTCTTTCTATTCTAAAGAAAACTCGAAAACCAAATAATGGGCACCCATCAAGAGTGAATAGCATGGCTGCCATTTTTCAAATCTCAGGTGAAAGGCTCCTTGGGTCTCCTCTCAGCTGATCTCCCAATGTAGTTGGGAACATCAGTGTGGTGGAGCCCCAATTTCCTTTTGAGAAGAGCTTCCCAGATGCATGGGATTCAGGGGAGGCCAAACAGCAATTGAAGTGTCCTGACCAAGGCTACTCTTTGGTGGATGCCTAAAGGCTGTTGGCAGAACCTGATCCCTGAATGCCCGATTAGGCATCCAGTGAAATTCTCCTCTTTCTGTTTTGGCCAGCCTCTCTCTTTGGGAAAGGAGTAGAAAGGCCCAGGACTGATTCCTCAGATATCCTCCTAGGAGTGATCTGGGTGACTTCCAAGGGGTCCTACTGACAGGTTTCCCAACTACAGCGGAAGGTGGCTGGCTCTCTACTTGCTTCCATTTCTGACACTCTGGCATGGCTCACCTCCCAGGTCCCATTTTTGGACCTTTCATTTTCAAATCTCTCTTGGGGAGTGGAAGCATGACTTACTTGAATGCCTTCTGGGCTCACCACCCTGCTCCTGCCCCTGATGTCCATGGGGGGATGGGAGAGAAGACATGTGGCAGGCTCCCACAAGATCCAGGTGATAATTAGAACCAACTGTCTCTGGTTAGTCTATCTCAGGACAGGGACTTTGAGGAATGAATATTCCCTAGCAGCTGCTGAAACTCCTTTTGTTTTGGGGAACTTCCCTACCTTCTCTGGCCCAACACGGACTGCCTATTTCCACTTGCTGATGAAAACAAAAATCTGCATCTGCTCATCTGTCCAAGCTGACAGACTTTAAGACCAGCAGACCTCCTTCTCTGCCCTCTGGGCTTTTCTCTACCTCTAGGCTTCTTGTCTGAACCTCACCTCTTCAGCCTTCCCCTCCCTCCTCCTGTTTCTGCATCACCTTGGCTACTGCTTACAAACTGGTTCCTATACCACCCTCAGTACCTCAGGCACCACTGGCTCCTCCTCCCACCCTCATGTTAAAGAGCGAAGAGCAACCCACTTGGACCACCGACTTCAGATTTCCCCACTGGTGCCCCGGTTAAAAATTGACAATGGGGAACAAATTAACTTTTAAATGGATACAGATAGAACACACTTGGTATTTTGTTGGTTTAAGATAGACATGTCTTTAGGGTTATCACACAAGTTTGTTGGTTTAAGATAGACGTCTTTATGGTTATCAACATTAAATATATAAAACTTTTTCTACCTAGGTTTACTGAAGGTCAAATAAGCTCATGTTATCTCTGATGCAATTTGTCGGCAAAAAGATGACTTAAAATAGTAGTTAAGTCTGTCTTAAGGTTTTATGGGTAATTGTTCATATAGCTTTCAGGGTCTTTGATAACCTGAAAGTTTAAATTTATAGTTTTGCTTGGATCATAAACTAGATTAAATGTGTTGGACATTTAGGCCTTTTCCAAATCAGATGGAATGCTAAAGCATTGCTTACTAAACATAGGTTTGTTCTTTTGACTTATTGTAGAGAAACCAAGGATATTTGGGTCTCTTGGAAAACATGCTTTGTGATTAATTAATTCATAAATTTGCCATGTAAAGAATTCTGGTGTAACAGTTCACAATTGGTTGCGACTTAGTTTTCACTGGAGACTAAGGATTCTAAGAGTTTAAATTCTGTTAAATGTAGTTAAAACTGATGGAAATAAGAAAAGGAACCATATGTAGAAAAGTAGATGTGAAGGAAGGTATAAGAAGTGGAAATACATTTTTGTTGAAGGTGAAAAAAAAAAGTATTTTTGTCCTAAATGAGACTGGTTATTTGGAGAGAAATGTCTTGGGACAAAATCTAAATGCAAAGGAAAGTTGTAGAAGGTTCATGAAGGGAAATCTTTGGAAAGGAATTTTATGTGTGGTCAGGATGGATAAGGTTAAAATGAATGGATTTTAAAAGTACACTCCTATAAGATTAAAACTACCCTCCTTTGATCCAAAGGCTAGGAAAATGGTGGTGATGTCCTCACTGCTGGCCTCCAAATGCTCCACACTTGTGTTGTTCCTGTTTAGTAGAGGAATGGATGCCTATGCCATATGAGGGATGGATGGATGACATATGAAGCGCTTTTACTGGGAGCCATTTTGCTAAACTTAGCCCAGTGTATGTCGAAAATGGATATACACATGGCTGGAACATATTTATGTGGGTACTATTAAACAAGGCAGGGGAACAGACCTTGACTTTGGCCTTTTAACGTCCCCTCAATGGCCGAGTATCGATATGTAAATGACTGATAGGCTAAAATAAAATTAGTGCATACTTCTACAATCAGGGGAGTCTTGCTTGATCACAGTCCATAACCCCAAGTTCCTGCAGGAGGGAAATGGAGGGGTAGGAGAAATCAGAGAAGATGGGTCATCTCTCAGAGGTAGGGTCAAGCCTGGGTAAGAGTTACTACTCCCAGCACCTTGTGAGACTGACAGGGCTTTTGGCTGCCAGTCGCATAGTCAGCCAAACTGCGGGGCAAGGAGATGAGGCTTCTCCTGGCCAACAATCAGGGTCAGGAGATAAAGTTTCTCTGACCAGCTATAGGAAATTGAGATAAGGGATGCCTTTTCTTCCTTTTCCCTATAGACAGGCAATTCCCCAACCAAGGCCAATACTCTGTTAGGATGCATTCTGAAAAACTGGGATGATTTTGATACACAAATCCTAAATAAAAAGTGACTCATTTTCTTTTATGCCAAGGCTTAGCCCCAATACAAGCTGGAGGAGGAAACTAGGCAGCCAGAGAGAAATATCAATTATAATACTATCCTACAATCAGATTTGTTTTTGTAAGGGAAATGGGGAGAAGTCCCCTATGGTTCAATGTTTTTGGGCTTTAAGAGAAAATTGGGACATGTGTATGCAATACAAGGTTAACCCTGGCTTATTGACAGCCCTTTCCAAGGTCCAGAAATCAGGAGAAGAAACAATCAAGGGGCCCTTGCCTGTACCCAAAGCAAACCTAGAGAAGGAGGAAGGGAAGTCTTACCTCAACCTCCTCCTCCTCGGGTCCTCTATCTATAGATCCAGACTTAAGAAAGAACGTGAACTTCTGCTCCCTGCTGCCCACCTTATCCAGGCCCTCCCCATAATGTAATAGGCATGTTTCCCCTACAAGAAGCTAGAGTGCCAGAAGGAGAAATGCAGGGAGACACCACTATGACTTGGTGTTCTGGCAGCAGTTGAGAGACCTGGAGATGAGCAACTCATTAATTAACATGGGACTGGAGGTCCTACAGGGACTTCCAATTCCCTACTGGAGCCCAGGCAATTCCATCCCAAGATATTAATT